GTCACTTAAACTTACTGTGTGAAAATAAGTTTGCTTAATTGTTAAATTCTGACAAAACCTGCAACAGAGTATAATTATAAAGGAATGATACTCAATGAAACAAACTACATAATATTAAAATGCATGTAGTGTAAATTATAACTATTATGATTATTTACCTTTATGACTTTATGACAATTGCAGTTTTTGTGAAATTGTTCTCAGAATGATGGCTTTATCAATTTAATTACAATTTATGTTCTGAAAAAATATTGACCAGAGAGGATGCTGGCTGAAATATTTTCAGAGTTAAGATGTGTTTAACTGTCTTTTTAAACCAGGGGTAAAATAAAGCATAGACCATAGGATTCAGACCTGAGTTAATATACATGACCCATGTCAAAACATTCATGGTTATGGAAGAAACTGCTGATATGTGTAGCGAATCAGCTCATGGGGAAATATGAATAATTAATCATATAATAGAGACCAAACACGGTATATGTAAGGTTACATGAATGAGTGGTTCTATCATAAGCATGAATAAAATAGTCTACAATACAACAGATAATATACAAGACAGCAATAATATACACCATGACCTGAAGGATATGTGTGTTCATTCAAAGAAAGGTTTTCCTATGAGTTAGTTAGTAGAAAAGTCCACTTCTACCGTGCCTTGTGCCTCTTGCGATGGAACATGCAGTGATTTTCCCTGCTTCGCATTCCATTAGGTCGTAAATGTATCTGGTGTCAGGGTTGCCATGGTAACCAGGGTCCTGGGCCCTGTTCACAGACAACTTGGCACCCAGTATGTTTATTGGGTGAGGGGTCTGTGAACGTTTGTTAATCTAATGAATAATTGATTTGTTAAATCAAATGGAAAATGGTGTGTCTGATTGGTCCAGATGCTACATATGGAACAGATATAGTACGGAATCCAACAAACCAGATAAACTTTCACAATGATTCCTAATGTCAGGGCAGCTTTGCTCTCAGATTTCCTTCTCACTGAACCTTCATTTATGCATTTGCTACTCTTCATCAGGGTGTTTATAACTTTCACTTGCTGATGCACAACATAGAAAATCCTCAAATATAAAGATATGATCAGGATACAAGGAAAAATAAAAGACATGAACAGATCAGTGACTCTCCAAGCAAAACCCACGAAAACAGAACACTCTCCATAACACGTGTATGTTCTGCATGAAATGTCAAAATAACCATTATTAATTACAACGGCAGTGTTATAAGTTGAGGAGCAAACCCAGCTCAGACAGATGCTTATTAATGTTTTAGTCATGGTTATTTTCTGTAGGTACAGTAAAGGGTGACAAACAGCCACATAACGATCAACAGCAATTAAAACTAAATTACTAAGAGATGCTGAGAGAAGCATTGCAATAAATACGGAATAGAGTCCAGAGAAAGTGTCTCCAAAGTACCAACACAACTCAATCAGCCTCGTGGCCTCTATGGGCATCACAAGTCCAATAAGCATGTCGGCCACAGCCAGAGAGAGAATGATCAGGTTGGTTGGAGTGTGAAGCTTCTTGAAGTGAGAGATGGAGATGATCACCAGCAGGTTCAGAAACACAGTCCATGCTGACAGCACTGACACAAACATATACATGATATTGTGTTAATGACTGGAGTGTTTTCCCTTGATACATGATTTGATGGCAGGAAAGCAGTATTGAATCTCATGATCCTCTGTCTCATAGGCCATGAGTGAGTCTCCTCCTGTTAGGAGGTTTTTAGGAGGTTTTCTTATAATAAGACTGAATCTGAATTTTCAACGGATTAAAAAAAAAAACTCTTTATAACTCTGGTCCTTGATTAAGATTTGCTAAACAACTTTTAAAGCAGTTGTAAATTACTCAAGAAACACATACCTGTGACCTCATTACATCAGTATTACTGCACTATTACTCTTGAGCATTATTGACAACAAAATTTAATCTCAACATTTTTTGTGATTTTTGCCAATAACGATAATTTTGCTGAGTGTGGGGGGCATGGAGATGCAGGCTACCGAGTAAGTGGTATTTGTGCTCTGGCTTAATTGTTAAAACTTATCATGAATTAAACTTGTGTTATCGAAAAACACAAGTTTGAAACTTTTTGAGATTGTCTTTAGTAAGAATGCCAGCAAAAAGCATTAAAAAAACTACAGAGAAAAAGAGGGCAGACTCGCAAAATATCTCATGTATCAAAGACTAAATCCTACTGGGTACAGATTTGTAGGATGCTGTCTTATATTTAATACAGGATGTGACCTCAATCCACTTTATTTATTGTTAGGCGTTGCTGCTAGTAATATA